ACAAAATAAATAACTGCTCATAGAGCTACAAATTTCATCGGCGTGAACTCCTTCTTTCTCTACCTCCATAGACCTAAAAGCAAAAATACGTTATAGCACAGTGAAAAAATGCCACCAATTTAGCCCATTTTTTAGACACAGTTCCAGAAGTGTGAAAAATAAATTAAATCCTCATTAAACGATCTAACATCTAAAAACGCCAGGTTCCTTTTTATGCCATATTTCTGCCTCAGACCTAATTTGTGCCTTTTGGACCTCAAACGCTGTAAATGAATCACAATTTCAACTTCCAACAAAGTCCGGAGTAAAATACGATCTATCCTCTGTCTCAAAATTGATTTTAATAACAAAATACAAAACTGTGAAATGGATGTTGGTAAACGCCCTTAAGCTTCATTTAATATGAATCACCAATTGCACTCCCTACTCAAAAATTAAGACAGTACATAGGGAAGGAACAGGTCCCATAGTAAAGTTCTATAAAGAATGCTCTGATCGAACAAAACTTAAAATATTTTTGCCCAAAAATTAAAAATTCACCCTGGTATCTCTGAGACAAGACAGACAAACACGGGGACGATCAGTATGATCAAATGGACATTCCTTTTTTACACATTTAGTGTCGTAACGGCAATAACCATGAAAGTAATAGCATCTAACACCGGGACACCTCGGAAAATTCCTACAAAAGACAGCAAATGAACAAAATCTTCCTTGAATCAAAATGAATTAAGGAAAAAACACCAACTTGCATCGGACTGGAGGTCCGTGAGGGCAACGACCACGTCCACGTTGCGCAATACCACTACCCCGACCTCGTGAACGTTCGTGGCTGTACATTTTCTCCTTCAAACACTCCTAAAAATTGATTATCCCGGCGTAAGCTACTTAAATGACATTGGAAATTCAGTCAGAAAATGAGACACAGCCAAAAAAAAGCAGATTTACGTGAAGACAAGATCAAATTTAACTGAGGGACACAGAGTAGTATTGTTAGAGAACAGGCAACAGTATATAACGTACCACTCCCGAATTACAAGTATAAAAGTGACTCAAAAGACACAACGACATCAATTTAAAAAACGTACCTTGTAAATGTGAGCTCTAAACTCTTCCCATCTTGAGTCTTTTGCTGATGAGATCTTCGAGCTAAAACTTTCTTTGCAATAATCGCAAATAAGTTTCTCATCCCCGTGGCGACGTTTCAAATGATCAACCAACTTCTGAACGCTAGATGCTTCCTTGTTACAATGTGCGCAAGGCATGTAAGCATCATGGGCACGAATCTCATGCTCGCTTAATTCTCGAACCGAATCGAAATCTGATCTGTCACATTCTCGGCACACGAACTCTCCCAATGACCGTATCGGGCTGTAAAAAAGACGAAGTAAATGTTGTAGAGAAGGGAAATGATGATCATCTGAATCCCTACGTCAAATTTTAAAAATAAAGGACCTTTCATCTGAAAGAAAAAATGACCCTAACGTTTTATCCCGGAAAAAGTGAACTTGCAAGTGTCAAAACAGAGTCCTTGCAAAACGCAAAAATCTTCTAATACTAGACCACAGGCTTAATAAAACCGGCTGAATAGGAAAGAAAATATCTGCTGTTTGATTATAAATTTTTACAGCTACAGCTAACTGACTAAAATAATGATAACTCAATTTTCCTTAAGAATCAAAATGGTTATTCAAACGATCTTCTGTGCCACAAACAGGAAGTAAAATTGTTTGCCAAAACGGGTAGGGCACTAATTGTAGCTGTCAATTAAAAACAAAATAAGTTTTTCAAGAAAGCCTTAATTTGTGACATAAAAGGCGCTTTGTAAACTTTACTTGCCAAGGAAAATTGTCTGCTGCAATTTAGGTCATATATCATCAAAATAAAGACAGTATTATATGGAAATTTATAATGAACAATTGAATCATCGACTTTACAAAGACCATAAAAAGATGAGCCATTAAAAGGGAAACAACGAATTTCCTTTCTTCTACAATTAACAACACACATACAAAGAAAAAATAAAAAAAGGCTTATTACTCAATCCATGCAAATCACGGTGTGACTGAGGTCGACCTTATAAAACACAAAATAAGCATTAATAGATAAATTTGAAAAAAATTGAAACCGTTAGAAAACTGAAAAAATCCGTTTAAATTTGAGCCTTCTTGGCTACATGTTTGCATTTAAAAAGAACAAGATATCAATATTTCAAACCGAAATAATCGTAAATTCTTTATTTAATAAACTTACTTAAATTCTGTGCATTCGTGTAGGTTAAATTTAAAGCAGCAACCGTACTAAATTCCGTGCAATTGAAAACTTACTCCGAAATGAGCGCTGACAGTGGCACATAAACATAAATGCGTTATAAGTTGTCGCATTTGGCATTGAATTATCATAAGGATCGAAAAAATTTCTTTCACTTTCTCTATATGTTCAATAATAATTCCGAAGATCTCAATATTGTACCAAACACCGTCGTATACTGCTTATAATACATAATATATTGAGACAAACCGAACCAAAAAGGGGTTACTGCTATTACCGTTTACTAAAATACCAACATGATTTTTAAATCGAATAACTATAGCGGCTAAATGTACTGGAGATTATTTCTTAAACAGTAAAATTGAAAATGGTAGTTCCTGGACGTTAATTTTACCAACTCCGAAGGAAAACCAACGCTGAATTCCTGAGTAATTAATACTTTACAGAAAAAAATTTTGTAAGAAACAAAAACTGGAAGCCCCTCACCGCCTACAAAAATTTACAGGAGATAACAATAAAATAAAGACATTTGAAATTCTTATCCCCGATAAAATTTTTTAGCCCATAACTCTGAAAGCCCCTCTAATGTCCTGAAATCCATAAAACTAAAACCAAGAAAGTTTACAAAGCGCCGAAGCTTCCTTCGATGATCTGCCCCTCTGTAGATAAACATCAGTATGCAATAACGGAAACAACTTCTCGTGTGCCAGAAAAGCGAAATTTACAAGAAAAAAAAAGAAAAAGAAAAGCAACGAAAACTTATTACTCATCAGAATATAGCATCACTAGAAAGGTAAGCTGTACCTCGCTTTAAATGAGTCGTAAGTATCACGGCTTGATGAAGATCGACTTCTGCGTCTTCTTGGACTTTGACTACGTGAACCTCGAGTTCTACGCTTAGTTCTTGAGCGTGATTTTGAGTGCGATCGTGACCTTAAAAGTGAGAAATTTAAATAAAAAAAGAAGAAATTAAAACTGCCAAAAAGTCTGAAATAAAACTACAAATGTTACAATCATAAATAAAAATTCACATTCAAATACCTCGAGCGTGAGCGACCTGAACGTGATCTTGATTTACTACGTGACTTCGAGCGACTATTAGAGTTAGATCTAGATGACTTCCCACTAGCTGCAGAACGTGAACGACTTCTAGACGATGCTGATTTCTCGTCCATCTTTTCATCATCTCTGAAATCATGGCAGGTGGAAAAAAAAAATTTTGGAAAACGAAGAGAGGGAAGATCAAACTCACTCATCCTTCTTTTGCCCATTAGTTACATTTTCCTGATCTTTTGCTTCTTCCGGTTTCTCTGGATCACCTGTTGCATGATTTTCTGACTGCTTCAAATCATACAGATCTTGGTCCTTTTCCTTACTGAAATTCTCACTTTGGTACTCGACTGCGGCTTCTGCTGCAGCCATAATCAACCTACACAGGAGAAGAATTAGGTTAACGACGTCGGTAATTTCAAATTCGACAATCGTCATGGAAACAGCTGAGATGCATGCATCAAATGGCATCGAAAAGTAAATTCACTGGCTCACAATTAAAAAAACCCAAGTACGTTCAATGAGGTTAAATAACAAATTCTACTGAAAATTATCCCAAATAAAAAAATCAGACTAGCAATAAGCATCATTGCCATAAATTACAACGCGCAAGTATACTCTACAGAAACCTCATGCATTTTCCATAATGCACAACACAACTGACGAACGGCTGAGATGTTAAAAGGAACAGCAATAACTACTAAAACGAAAAATGATTAAAATTACCATGATCACTAAAAACTTATTGGCTGAAAGCATTTAAAATATCCTATGTTTCCCCATCCCATAAAAAACAATCATCCCCTTACCGGTACAGAATTTGAAGGAAACATCGAAACGTTATCAAAATATGTTTACCAGTTTGAAACTTGTAAAATCCGTCATTTTGCACTAAAAAAAAGATAATGAACCTGAACCATGTCTAAAAATGCGAAAATTAAAATGACAATCAAAATCGAGAAATTTCCTTACTTCATAAAGTTAGAAATTAGCCGCTCTAAAAAAAAAAAAATACTTGAAAAATTGGGGTAAAAACCGATGACTACAGGATGTGATGCCAAATCGCTGTCAGCTGAACAGATTCCTAAAAATTATTTTGCAGAAAAGAACCAAAGTAATCATAACGTCCAACTCTGCATTTAAATCAACCATATTTATGCTAAAAAGTGGTCAAAAATCCTGATTGCTGAACCAAGTAAGCCACGCATTTTCCACATACATTAAAGAGACTCAATTCATATTTGTATTTATTTATTTATTTTATTTTATTTATTTATTTTTTGTAATAATGAGATAAGGAAGAAAAAGAACTTAACCGATACAGCCGCGTACTGCATATTCCGAATAAAACGTTAAGATAGATCAACAATTTAAAAAAAAAAAGAGCGAAAATAACAATGAAACGACAGGCAACGTTGAACATTTTGCCCAGAAAATAAGAAGGACAAATCGGTTAGCGATGATGACTCACAGAAAAAGTGCCAGTGAGCTCAGCTTTTTATTCTATCTTTTCTCTCCAAACCACACAAGAAAACCTGACCTAAAGTACCAACTCATAACAACCGAAGCACTGTTCTGATAAAACTATTGTCCTTGAAACATACACAGACAAATAAATAAATCCGGCTACTGAAGTTACATATCCCTGTGCTTAACTAATCATCATCATACAACCAGAACTCTGACTTCATCATCCTTTCCTCTGACTCAGTTTTCTTCAACTAATGTTCATCATTTTCTGCACTGAAACAAATTGTTCATTTATAGTTAGCAACAATTACATGCATAAAACTAACTAAATAAAGAACTGTTACTCATTTTTCAGACGCATCGAACACATCAAAAACTGAAGTAATCAACAACGGTTGTTATGCTTCAAAAAAAAAAAAAAATAAAAAAAATTCTAGGCATTTAAAAAGCCAGGAAAAAAAACAAAGTGAGAACGGAGAGATCGGGGAAGGGAAGAAAAGCGGAGAAAAAAGCATAGAGTTCTTTTTGGTGCAATAAAATTACAATTCATTGCATCTTTTTTCTTTAAATATCGCTAAAGCGAAAATGAGACAAGACGAAATTGTCCGATAAATTTGCCAACATTACAAAACGACATAGAAAAAAGAAAAAAACAAAAAAGTAATCATAACAAAAAAAATAAAAATAAAAACTGAAAAGTTTCAACAAATTTAATGCAAATAAAATGACAACCGCTTCAAACGATGTAAAATCAACAAATTACAAGGAAAAAATTGACTTCTAGAAGAGAAAAAAGCCCACTGTTTCCCTGTCCGTTCTTTCGTTCCCTTTTCTTTTTTTTTTTTTTTTTTGAAGAAAACGAGAAGGACGAAATAGAAGAAAAAAAATTTTGCTAAACACAATGCTGCTAAGATCAGTCTGCTGACTTTTAACATCCAGTTCTGTCTTTTTTTTTTTTTTTCTGGTCATCCAAAGACCCACACAAACACAACACCAATATTCATCTGTTAAACGGCAAACTTCATGTCGGATACAACCAAACAACTTATTAAGCAGAATACGAGAAATATATGTTTATAACTACCAAACCAATCACTAATCGACGCGAATTCTTTGACAACGATAACGCAGACTACGAAGATGATGATGACGATGATGACGACGACGACGAGGACGACGACGACGACGATGACAACAACAACAACAACAACAGTAACATCAATAACAACAAATAGCGAAAGCAACATTTGACGTGGAAAAAGTTTCATCTGAAATCAAAATTAGAACAAAAAAAAAACGCTATCGGCGAAAACCATCTGAATTTGCAGAAAAAAAAAAAATAAATAAAAAATAAACAAAAATAGAAACAACATTTATATAAAAATATACATATAAACAAATATGCATACATTTACTCGTTCAAAACTAACTTACCTTTCTAAACTTAGTTCATAGGGACTGGCTAATAATACCAGTTACAAATTAATAGTCATAAAAAAAAAAAAAAACTGAAAATGGTAAGAAAAAATTTTAGAAAATAAAATGAATAACAACACTAAAATAACTGCAATTGTTTTCTCCTCTACTTAACATTTATCAAATAAACAAACCTCCCAAATAATGCCATCTCTTTTTTCAAACCCACTGAAAAAATATACATGTAAAGCTTAGAGTAATTTTATTCCACACTAACAATAAATCCTTACATATAATGAGTGTAGTGATGCCAATAACACAAATAATAACAATAATCACAGTGATAATAATAATGATAATAATAATAATAATGGTAATGGTAATAATAATAATAATAATAATAATAA